TTGAATTGCTCCCAAATAATTCGAGTTCGTTGGAGACTTAAGTATTGTCGCCATATGATGAGGAAATTAGTAATTTCATACAAAGTTTCTTTTTTAATTCACTGAAAACAAATGAGGCATTTTTTATTCATATTTTGCACCCTGTTAAGGTGGTGGGTGTTCTGTGAGATTTCGGTTTTATTTACAGGTCCACAAAGCATGCAATACATTTTAAATGCAAAATCAGTTTTTATATATTTAATGTTTATTGTTTTGAGTTTGCATTTTATTTTATTTTCATCAAAATGTTTTTGCCATTCGTTAACTGTTATTTTATAGAATTTCCCTTTACTTTAGACATTGATTTTTTTTTTTTTTGTTTGGTAACAATATGTATGTACATTTGGCATTGTGGTAGCCGATAGCGTCAATTGATTTTATCGCGCCAACACAAATCCGCGCCACACACACACAATCGCATACAAATGCATTTAAACAAAATCACAAAATGCTCTCCAACCAAACAAAGATGTAAATTTCCACTTGACTGCAACTAATCCCATAAATTTGCCACATGCCACAACAGTAGCCAGCGTCCTGCCAGCAGCCTTTCCCAGCTGCATTGAATTTCGCTAGCTACATATTACGTATATACATATATGTATAAGCTTTTGCTTGCTGCCAAATGGCGCGCACAGATTTAATCCACACTTGCAGACACACACACACACACACACACAAGTGCTTGCTTTCAACGGATTGCAATGCATTTTGAAGAATTTTTTATTGCTTCTGTTAACATTTGGATTTTATTTACTTCTTTGTCGCTGAATTGTGTCGTTGTCATTGTTTTCCGTTGCGCAGTTTTTTCATGTGCTAATCTATTTTTTATTTAAACTTCTTTTTGGTTTTATTTATTTTTTTCTGCTATTTTTAATCGACATTTTTACATCGTGCAGCACTTTATGTTACGTATACGCCGTAGTGCGCTTGCCTCCAATGGATTGGCATACGGCGGTTCTCAACACCCGCTTGCATTTTTTATCGTGGCGCGATTTAGATGCACATATTTTTGTGCACTTTTTCTGATATATACATATACATACATACATATGTATGTATATGCATTTGTACATGCACGTATTATTTAGGTTTATGTGCATCACAAATTTCAAAAACGTATTTCATCAACTACTCAAACAAGCTGCTGCATTCTGAAAACGCGAAATTTATTATTCATTTGCTTTTAGCTGCCTGTTTTTACACACATCGACGCGTAGAGTTTAACTGGTAAATAAATAAGTATAAAGTACAATATTCACACCCGTTTGCATACTGAATTGTTCAGCTGTAGCGAGTTGTTTCGTTACATTGAAATCTCAATAAATTTGATGGCATTTGAAAGGTTGTTGAAAACCGCATTAAATTATTTTTGTTGCGTTACAAATACACTGCTGTGACAGCTTAAGTGAATGTGCTGCAGCGTTAGTATATTCGTGTATTAGGGTGTTGCAACACATCAACTTCACATCTAAGTTTTTCATACATAATGTGATCACCCCACCCAGCAAAAAATCGGTAATCGCTTTTAGTGGTAACGTGTTCTAGAAGGCATAGCGTTATAATGCTTTCGATTTTTTTCGTTTCTTTTAGGCATTGCCGGGAATGCAAAGTAGAATGGCCTACAATATTTTTTTTATTTCGCTTCTTTGCTTCATTTCGAGGAATGCAAAGTAGAATGCTGCATCGTAGTCAGCTGAAAAAATAGAATGAATATCCAATAATTATTTTTCTACCGTTACTTTCTGTGGAAATTTGTCTCGCATATAAATCATGTTTTGCTTTGTTCAATTTGCAGCGAAGTTAAAGTCAGTCAATGAAGTGAAGTACAAGAGTGAGGAAGTACAATTTTAAGCTTAATTAAATATGCATGTATGTACACACCAATCTTAATGTAAAATCTAAATACCCAAATACATGCATAGGTATGTATAAAAACTTATTTATAAAAATTTTAATATTTTAAGACATTTTCTTACAATTTACAATTAATATAAATAATACAATTTAATATAAATACATAAGTATGTACTTATCTAGGCATTCTACATTAGTTTCTCTGTAAGGCATTATTTGTTCGCTTCTCTGGATTCTGTTTATCCATGCATTCACCCATTCGTTTGAAGGTAATGCTGTGGGTAAGGGCTTACCGCCAATGACATGCCCATGTTAAAATAATGCCTCCTTGAAGCGAGAGGGCAAGCGATTCCCAACGCCTAGCTCGTTTCCATTTTCGTTTCTTCGGTAATCGTGTGTTTTGCTGGGCAGCGTCATTAAGGCTAAAAAATTACTTTTTTATGTATTTTTATTTATTTTCGGATATTATTTCCCTTTTGAAATGGAAATAAGGTCAAACGACAAAAGGCAGTCGACAGAAGTACCTATGTGTTTAACTTTTTACTGAAAATTTTTTGTTGAAAATTTTAATTATTTAATTTTCACACATTACGTATGTAAGGAAATAAAGCCTACGGGCGATATTTCCGTGGGCGTCATTTCACTGCACTATAGTTCATTACCTGGTTTAATATAGAGAACATTTTCTGCATAAAAAATTCTATTTCAATTTAATTAATAAATTTAATTAAATATTACAATATGATCGGATAAGTCCCCTCCAATTAAAAAAAAATAAATAAAGCGTTGCCACCTTTTTCAAAAATTAAAATTCAGTTTTATAAATAAGTCAAGTAAAATATGTAGTCCATTATGGGTACAAACGGAAGAGGTTTTATCCAAAATTTATTTGAGAAGCGTTGCTAAACGATGGAGTAAAATGCTAAGAAACCAGTTTTCGCAATTTGCCGGCAAACTCCAAATTGATTTTTGAACCATGATTTCTTCGTCAAATTTGCTTAGAATTACATCTAAAATTCTCCTATGCTTTACGCGCATAGTCGAAAAAATCTTCCATACAAATGGACCCGCTCTAGTGCCAGTATGCATATCAAATTTCGCACATTCTAATGTGCAAGCGTACAATTAAATCGGTACATATGTATGTACGTGCGTTATGTACGCGTTAGCTTATATTTTAGCGCAGAAACTTTAGTTGCTGTTGTGTGGCGTGTAATTGATTTTGGGCTTACTCTAATTTAGTGAAAATTTTTCAATAGAATTGTATACTGGCTTTTAATTAATTTAATCTATACATTGAGAAAAGACTATAGTCACATCAACTAAGTTTGGTGACTATAACAAAATAATTTAACTATAACCAAATCATGTGTTAAGAGAAATATAAAGATCGAGAATAAAAATGGCTAAGCTGAGCGCGAAACACGCCTCATTTAAGGAATATTTACGATTTCTAGCGGGATTCTCTAGAGTTTTTAACATCCCGAAATCCGGAGATTTCTATGCCCTAAATCTGTATCAGCAATCAGTTTTGCTCCATTATCTCACGTTTTCGCGATAATCGAGCCCAAATTTGTGAAAACACACAATTTTTAACTATTCAAACTGAAAAAAATTTTGCACTACACCTTTACGCTTCTTTATTTCCATTGTTAACATATCAAACTGCATACGTGTGTTAAAAAAATAGAAACAATTTAAAATAAAAAATATATGTATGTATGTATTTATATCTATCTCGATTCCCTTTGGCCAGGGCCCGTAACAGTTACAACTTTTAAATCCCTCTTTAACAATTGTTTTTTGACTTTTATTTAATTACTCCTCAAATAACAGTTATTTCTGATTTTTATTTAATAAATCCAAAATAAGAATTATTTTTTATTTGTATCTAAATAATCTACAAATAACAGTTATTTTTAATTTTTAAATTAAATTACTTAGATAACAGTTATTTAGGACAAAGCAAAAGTCACTGACTGATTTTTATTGATGATGACTGTTATAAATAAAAGTCTTCGATAAGTGTTATCTAAGACATATAATATAAAAATCAAACATAACTGTTATATGCAGATTTTTTAGATAAAAATGAAAAATAATTGTTATTTTGAATTCATAAAATAAAAATCAAAAATAATTGTTTTTTTTTTGTAAATTTGCATGAAAAATTACAAATCAAAATGTATTTTCAAATTTGATTCTCGGTGAAAAAAGAAAACGATTGGTATGTATCACTTAGTTGTAGAACATATCCTTCATAGTGAATTTTTCAATGACAGTTTTCATCAATAACTGTTATGTTCGGCCCCTGGTTTTGGCTGTTACGAGCAACCGTTATGTGAACAAAGTTATAATTCTCTTGTGGACAAGTTCGCTCGGGTATAAAAATCAATTAAAGTAACAATTTTAATGATGAAATACATATGTATGAGAGTCATTTTGAAAAAAATTTGTTAATAAGTTAATAGAAACCGTTAAAGTGGCATAATTTTCTACAACTGAAACTTGCGTTTATATGGTTTTTGTTAACGACTGAACTGCATTTGAATTTAAAAATAATGGCAATTAAATAAACGAAAAATAACCGAGAAAAAAAAGCCCAAAAAGCATTGTCCCTATTCAAGAGCTTTGAAGTGTGTATGTTTAATGTTTTTTTTTTTTGTTAAACGGACCTTAAATGATGAAAAAATTCGCATTTAAAATTGTGTTTTTTTTAATAATTGCAAACTTAATGGGTCGTTTCATGAAACTAACTAAATCACTTTTACTAATTTCCACTGAAAACTTATGCGTAATCACATAGATCACGCTTTATTGCAATTACAAACATATTTGAATTCAATTACAAATCAATTAAAAAGAGATTGTCAATTATTCATGTGTATTTTTTATAGTTTCTATTCTTCTGTAGCTTTAATTTGTGGTTATCGTTTTGTTTCTAACTCATTCAAATTTCGTTTGCAATGTATTACGCTGCTTTGTTTTTGGTGCTTTTTGCTACTGCGGTGCGTACTTTTCCTGCGTATTAATATAAACTGAAATATACATACACTTTTATTACATTTATTTTCTAAAAAAAAAATTTACTACTTTTTTCAGGCCCACTGCTTTATTTTTTATAAAACAGTGAAAATCGAATGCTTTCCCAATGCTCGATACATAAGGAATGCCACCTGTGGCATAAAGGCAGTCAGTCGCTACCGATCGCACACGAATATGGAATGTGATATTGTGGATCGTTTGAAAAATGTTTCGGTAAAGTCTCATGTGCATAAAAAAATACACATAAATAAGTGTATGTATGTATATACTATATAACACTATAAATGAGTACCACATTCTTAAACTAATAATAGTTACATATAAAATACCACTTTTAACAGCTTCATTTGCAACTATTTTTGCGAAATACCGCCAATCATTATAAGCCATTTCTGGTCAATGTCACCGCCAATTTGTGCAAAATTCTGGATAGACGAAACTTTCCCGCTTATACAACAATCGTTATGAATATACTAAAAGAAGTATCGAATGAGAATCATAGTTGTCCATATACGGTGAGTAGCTTTTCGTTGTTATTTGGAGCTATCAGTGAATCCAACGAGGTCCGCTTTTTTGTGAAATACAAGAACTGAATTTGAATAGCTGTGAACTTGACATGCAGATGTACATACATATTTGTACTTTCAATCCATACGTTCATAAATAGCTTTAATTCGGATTTAGTGAACACATTGTCTTAAGCAGGGATTACACGATTTGTGCATTGTATAGATTTGTACAATTTAACAGTTGCAAAGTTGTTGGGGTTGTTGGGGCAATTATTTATTGAATTGAACTCATTGCGAATCAAAATTTCTAAACAACACCACATTGTTGCTTCCAAAATGTACAAATCGTGTGATCCCAGCTTAAGATTTCACAAAAATCCGACTGCGATGGATTTAATTAAAGCCCAGATTTTTTTAACCCAAATTCTTTTTGCCATTTCGTTCTACCGCGCTCTTCTTCAGAAACGCCTGGTGATTAAAAATCTCTTTATTGATGACAAGTTTTTACCCATTGAACCACCCTTGGGACTCTATAAGGGCGTTTTCCATTTCTTCGAAGGATTCCCCTTCGATGATATAGGTACAGTAGACCGTTCGTTAAAATTAAAATTTGGTTTGCCGGGCGGAAAACATACTTTATGTATAGGCTATTGAAGTGAAGCAATTTAAACGACGTATAAAAGCACCGAAAATGCGAGCACACTGGAATTTGAAATAAAAAATTGGCAATTAAAATAAAATTTGCATTAATATCATTTGCCATTAGAGGGGCGGATACAGAGTGAGTCGATAGAGCGATGGAGCCTCCCAGGGCTGCAAAATTAAAACTTCGGTTTTCGGCCTTATCACACGATATTTTGTCTCACACAAGATGATTCCCTCGTAGAACCATAAAAGTCTGGTGCACTTCAAGAATTTTTTATCAGTTGAAAGCATTTTCGACATCTAGGGTAAAAACGCTTATACAGTGACATGGAGACACGTCACACTGCAGAAATGGAAAATAAACACAAAACGCCTAAAAAACAAAACTGAATAAAAAACAGAAAAATACTCGCAACCACAAGAAAAGTGTCAAAATGAAAACCAGCAAAATACTGCTGCTCAACTGTACGGGTATTACATCGCCCCATATTCAAATGACACAAAATGGCAATAATATCAAAAGTTGCACAAAAAAAGCAATAACGAGAAACCTAAAACGAATGTAATGCGATGATTGCGCAAAGTGTTTTTGAATGACAGAGAATGTGAAAAAATCCACACTTAAGCATTGAATCGAGTGCATATTTATGTATGTATGTGAGTGAAGAGGAGCGGGTGAATAGCAAAAATATATGCAGACGTGTTAAGGGTGTCCTGAGTGTACAGGGCGAAAAGGACTAAAAGCATACAAATATACATACGCATATATGTAAAAAAGCTGCCACTTAACGTTGTATGAGCTGTTGGTTGGTTAGGGGTTGGTGAGATGAGTGTCACATTAAAAGCAAAATCATATGAAACTGTCAAAATATCATAATATAAATTAATTTTGATGTGTCACACAAGTTATGACAGCTGGCGGTGTATTGCCAACCAAAGAATCAACCAGCGGCTGCCTGTAAGGCGGTTCAGCCACTTTGAAAAATGAAAGGCGATCATAATACATATACTCGTAATGTACTTTACTTGTGTGCTTTTTACTTATGTATGTATGTAAATGTCTCCATATAGTAAATATTCAAATCATAAGAAAGCTTCACTGAAAAATAAAACTACAATTGGCACTTTAAAATGACGTTTATGCATAATTTTCAATACTGGGATTAATTATTTCAGTATACGATTTGATATGTAGCACAAAATATACAATTAATGGTAGGAGTGTACGTTAAGCTCTTGCTTGCCAGAAAAATAAAAATTATTTAATTTGTATAAGTTAAATAAAATAGAGCAGTATGAGCAAAGAATTTTAGAAAAACGTTTTAATTTACGCTTTCTTAAATTTTTGAAAATGATTCGATTATACAAGAGTCACTAAAAAGTCCTTACAATATNTTGTGATGCCGCATGTTGGGTCAGCAACTCCCAATCCCTCCTAAAACCATTTTGAACTTTGAACGAATTTTAGAAGATCCCTGATTTCGACGCATCTAAGGTCCTCCAAGTTGTCGAAGAATTGCCTACCGAGATCACAATATCTAAGAAAAAATAAATTTGGCAGGTAGAAATGGCCTTCTCAATTTTCCAGATATTTTGCAGCATGGTTTATACAATTTTTCTGAGTTTATCCTCGATGCATGGGTATAAAAAAAAACATGAGAGGTCAATTTAGGACTGTACACCAAATATAACCCAACAATTTGATGTTTTGAGTGCTTCAAAAATCATTTGTTTAATGAGGTAAGTGAGAGCTTGCATTTCTGTGATGAAAGACCATTTCGACACCTGGGCTGAAGATCGACCGATCTCGGCGGCCAGTTCGAAAACGCCCTATCGCAGAAAACCTTTCCAAGAACGCCCTATCTCAGAATTCGGTTCGGTGACTTTTGCTAAAATTTCAAAATCAAAAGCTATCAAAATACCAATTCTATGTGACTGAAAAATATTATTTTCTACTTTTTAGTCTATTTATAGAAGCGTGGTATATTAAAATTTTTTTTTTATTTTTAACCGACTTCACAATTTTTATTTTTATTTTTTTATGTATGTTACCGGATAACTTTGGACGACGTTAACCGATTTCTTTAATTCATTTTTTAAAGGAAAGCTGTTACCTCACAGTTGGTTCCATACTAATTTGGTTTAACATGAAGTAATTCACGATAATCTTAAATTTTTATATGAGAATTTAAGTGGGTTTTATTTTTTGCTTAAAAAAAAAATTACTTGTATTTATTTCTTTTCACTTACACAAACTACAACAAAATAAGACAATACTCTAAAGCTGCAATCAGTGCGTTGCTGCTGTCACAAATTCCAAAGCATTGTCGTATTGTCACTTCGAATCACTTTCACTATCCACGCTTATACCAGATTTGGCTCTCTTCATTCGCTACCATGCTACGCTTAAAGTATTTTACACTTAGCTTTTCATATTAGCTGAGATTTATTTTGCAAATGATTTAAACACTCTGCCAAGTAAGCGGCAATCGGTATTCAAAAAAATGTATTTTAAACTGAAAATTTCAAGTGAAGTTTGTTGTAAGCGTTTAATTAAGGCATTCAAACTTTCATTTTTATGCGCGCCACAAAAGTTATTCACCACCACTTTGGCACTTTTTCCATTAGGGTTAGACTGCAAATAAATTAAAAAACAAAACAATTGACAGCTTGCGAAATTCTAAGCAAATTATCCACAACATATTTTCCTCACCCCCGCATGCATTGCATTTACTTAAATTTGTTAATTTTCAATTTTGTTTTAAAATTTGCATCACATTTTATCTGAATTTAAATGCAAAGCGACTGTTGCGCCGATTAAACTAATGCTTATACTGCTTTCAAGCGCCTGGCGATCTGCGCGCGCCCCTTCACCAAAGTAGCGTGTTATGTTGTTGCGAGCTAAGGGAACGAAAAAACTTTCACTAGCCAATCACT